ATCTAAAACACGTGTTTACAATACATTTGGGTGAATACAAAAAATAGAAAAAAAAATAGAAAAACCCTACGACATCAACAGCGAATCATTTTCTTCCTCCGCACACTACACGTATACACATCATACACGTATTGCGGTATTGACGGTTTGCCTTCTTTGTCATCATTGTGTGCGTTCGCCTCTCTCGAATAGAGAGCCTTTTGCACGAAGCGACGTCTGAGGCGGTTGGAAACGACGGTGGTGATAGTTAATCGTGCTCGGAGTGGTTTCTCTCGAGAAAATCGCATTGCCGCCATTTTCCTTCAGCCGTGGATATATAGTTACTCACAAGGGTGGATGGCTTCGGTGGCGTATAACACGCTGTATAATAACGGGGAATACTCGCCTCCACCACTATACCATTCGACGTTCAGTGGAGGTTGCGACAAATTGCCGGGCATTTAAAACTTTTTAATAACCCTTTTTATTTTTATTTTCGCTTTGTTTTCGTAAAAACCCACAACGGGCGCCCGCCACTGTAGAGTATATACATATTAGGATCTGATGCCGGGACAAACAACAAATGAGCCGCAATTATTGTGGACGACGTGCGTCGCGGMCGGGAACGTTTCCGAACTAATGATCTTTTCATTCCTGCGCCCGTCTGAACTACCACCGCTACGATGACTTTGGTGACGATAATGATGATGATAGTGTGTATGTGTGTGTGTGTGCAGCAACCCTTTCGACCCCTAACCGTCATCGATGGACGCTACTCATCCGAGGAATGTTATTGTTGTTAACCTACCCCGTCGTCGTATGACGTAGTTTTCCTTTTCACCCCAGCACGCGTGCGTACTCGCAATATGTATTATTAATGCGAGGGAACGGAAAAAAAAATTGTTTTTCCATCAAAGGTTCTTCTCAGAGCTGCTCGACCAGTGAGCTGTGTGTAATCGAGCACCGACTTCCGGTCGACGTCGGAGGGTCCTTAAGGTTACGGTTTTTTTTCCTTCTTCGCGGTGGCTTATATCGAAAAAAGGAGAAAAACCACCACCACCRCCCTTGTATTTTTTTTTTCATTCTATCGTCGATTGTTATCGATAGTGATGGTTTTGGATTAAGCAATTCCCTTACCAACAATAATACKTCGAAAAATAAATCAAACATGTAGAAGTAGGTGCATAATATTATTTATTCCATCGAACGTGATGTCGAAGTGACGAATAGGCTATAGCGTGTGTACATTTACTTTAGTTTCTATTTATATGTGTGTAAAATGTGTTATCTTTTAATAAAAATCTATCGATTTTTTGCATGCTTTTGTTTATTAAACATTATGTTTGTTGTGTACAACCGTTAAAAAACACGATTCTAGATTCATCTATACGATTTTCACAGTAACCCTTGACCCAACATATCGATATCCTGTAAACAAAACGTTTGCGAATAATACAGTAGATTTTAAAATAATACTCCTCTTTAAATATGAACTCTATAAAAATTGTAAATTTTTAAAATAAAAYGTATGACATCTCGTATGCTTTTTTTTATCAAATTATAGCGTAGATACCTAAAACTTTTCTACATTGCTATCTTTATTTTTTTTTTTTTACGCCCATCAATATTATATATTCATCCGTATTATATAATATATCTATTTTCAAATCAGGAACGTTATACTCGTAGTATATATATTTTATATTATATCGTTTTTTGTAATACCCTTCACTTGAACACTATTTTCGTTGTTATGGCTGCCAACGTCATAACACTAAACACATTTGCTGATTAAGTCTATTTTTTCTTTAAGCGTTCATTTTTACCCTTATCTTGTGTAKATATTTTTTTAATGGTTATATAATATGTTAAAGGCTCTTTTCCCATTTATTTACAATGATATGTCTACATGGATATCTCACACGAACATGTTCACCGAACTGGGTGCCTAATCTATAAATACAAGTATAATATTAGTGGTTGATTTTAAATAATTTTGCCTCTTGTTTTAAATATTCGGCAGTGAGTTTGCGTTTTTAACAAAAAACTATTTCGCCATCAGTTATCATTTATGTAGAATATATTATGCTTAAGTGTTAAGATCCCGACTGTTTACAAAATGCTTGATTCTATGTATACTCATTCGTATGTTTTCTTTTAAACCAATATTATTGCGGTGTTGGTAGTTATATGTATATATTATATATATTAACTATATAATTTGATTTTGTTTCAACGCATACCGTGTACGTATATCGATTTGTAATTTACATACTATTTAAGCCGACATCGAATGAATACACTCTATACTGTATTCACTGATGTTCGCCAAAATCAACTAATTGCGTATCGTATATCCGTGATTTTAAACCATTTAAACATTCACAATAAAACATGTCAAAACCCGTATAAATTCGTAGAACTCAGCGTAAACGAAACCTTATTGCAAGTATATAGTATGATATTATAATATAATACTCATCAACAGCCCTTTTCAGTGGCACGATTCTTGGAATACTTTTGTCGTTATACGCAAATRCGAATGATTATTGTAATATTATGCTCTTCCTGAGCAAAACTGATTTCATCGAAACAGTGTTATTGTCGTCACGTCATAGCGTGCCCATCGGATATCATTTTCATATTTGACATCTAAACATAAATTCTAAGAAAAATATCATCATGCGCGCTCGGTGTACTTAGTATAAGGTCTGCGTGTAAACACAACAACAAATAAACATTGTTATACCGTAATTTTCGTACTAATGATGTTTTCCATTTCCTAGTGGAGAACCACCACCACCACGGCGTTGGTTCGGGTTGCCGATACCCGTCATGGTTGACCGAACACCACACCTGGCACTCGTTGAACCACGGTCACGTTTACCATTTCTCGCCAAGAAACGGCACGTTGCGGAAGAGCATACCGGGGGCCGGGCCGGACCACGACATCCGCGCCGCGTGTTACAAGGTAATCAACGTCACCGATAACAAGGCGCTGATCATCACGCATTACACCATCGGGTGGTAAGTACATCGCAACATAAAAAGCGATCTTCGTTTTTTTTTTTTAAGTACACACATACGCACGCATTTTTATTTTATTTTTTAATCACGACCGGTGTACCCTACGCGGTCGTATACACAACCATATACGACGTTAAAAAGGGGTCGGGAAAATCTTGACTACRGATTTCCCTCTCGAGTTAAATATAATGTTGTGTTATGACTGTTATGAGTGTTTAGAGTCAGTTTTATAATATATATATTTTTTTTACTTTTCAATGATTCCCTCCAAACGAATATGACGTGATATATACACACATGCAAGTATGTGTGTATTTATATGTGAGTAAGTGTGTTGTATACACATTCTTACGGAAAACACTCTCGAGTACATTCATCCGTGTCGGCGTGGTTCGTATAAGTAATCAACCCCGTCTTTATTTTTTTTTCAATTCTTATCCTCGTGTACGGTCATAAAGTAAAAGGAAGGGTAAAAGGGTATTCAAAGCTCGACAAATTAAAACCAACGTTTTTATTTCCTTCTTTTTTTATTATTATTTCTCTCAAAGTCTACATCATAAGTATAGAATTTCGCTCGAGGGAGGATTATTAATAAATAGCGACTACACGATAAATATAAAAATAAAAGCAAGTGTAATATTGCGGTGTTGTGTGAAATTTAAATTTCACAAATGCGGAAATGTTCGTTATTTTCTAATGGTTGCCGTCAATATAATTAACGATTGAATAATATATACGCAGATACGTTATCTATATACATAATATCCTGTCCCGACTATGTGCCGCCAGGCAGTATTGCAGGGACTTGTATTACACACRCGCAGCGGATACATTACTATGCTCATCAATTTCAAGACATCAAATAATAACATCGTATAGAATGTTCTAGTGCTCGTTTACATGGTTTACAAATCAAAATAACGACCAGACGTGTTTATGRTTTGCCTAGTTAGATTTTATAGGAACAATATCAAAACTTAATAAATATATTTCCATCGGTTTTACGTTAAGACATTGTATGGATAATGTGGTGTACAGTACTCATTTAACGGTTTGCATAATTTAACCGACTGGCGACCACAACAAAACCACAACAACAATGCATTTTTGACACGAAAACAATATATTTACATCACTATGTAACGAAACCGTAAAAAATGAATTTCGATASGAATCTTTGGAAATAACATTCAATTTCTTCAACATACATAATATGTAAACTACAATCTAAACACCACATATGGACATTTCAAAAATAATATCTAGATCTATTGTTGTTCTATATATTACATTCGATTTATTTATATTTGTGTATTTCCATAATTAATTTAAAATCGTTCAAACGATTCCCATTAATGCAATTGTTTTGATATTTTTAACTACTGAATATATTAATTACTCATTCATTTTGGTGATTATATTTGTAACAAATTATTAAATAATCATTAGGGGTAGTCTCTTATTTTAGTAGTTTATACTTAACGGTACATTTTATTTTTCAGCCAAAGCGGATATGCGTGCATGGGGTTTTATCGCCGTGACAGCCAAGTTGTTGAGGTCCAAGAGAGTGGTACGTATATACAACTTAAGTGTCACACATAACTAACAGTCAAACATAAATGTATGCTAAAAACTTCGCCAAAAGTTTCCAAAACAAGCGTATAAGTATAGTTTTAATGGGAACCGACAGGTGTCAGACCAATATTATGACAAACTCAGGAATGAAATTAAAATGTTTTGCGTCAAATTTGGGCTGTGAACTTATCACAATAAAATCGTAATGCTAACTTATGCTTACGAAAGTTTGCCATCTATCGAAATGAATAGTGTGCATTTTGCAAACTTTTCACTTAGGCGTTGATATTGTAAGACACACAAACTTATTTTTCCCATTCTCCTAAGAGAGATGGCTGCGAAGAAAAATAGGAGTTGTTTGCAGCTATATAATCCACAAATCTACGAGTTTAAAGTATTGGAAATACGTCTGACCATGTTGTAAGTTTATTTAATCATCATAGTTTACCCATGCGATTCCTAAAAAATCAATATTACCTACTTTATACGAATAAAACAATACGTGACGTAAATAATATATGAATTTTAATTTAAACTATTTTACATTTAAATATTAAACGTTTTCATTCGTGAAGGTTAGTAATTATGTTCAAAACGTATAAAAATCAAATTTCTTTACATGAAACAAATTAAATTCCTCGGATCTACAGCCTACAGGTATATTCGTATTATCTTTGTTTTTCTTTGACATTTGACATTTCTGAGAACAATATTATAGTAAGGTATTTACGTGAACGAAAAAGAAAACAAATTTACAAGTTTTGTGAATTCGCAACTACTCAAAAACTAAAAATATGCTTTAACATTATTTTTTAATGCCAACATTTTTATCGGTACAATAATATTAAGGTTTTGTTATTTTTAATATGTCACTGAAATATGAAAATATCTCTTTCGTAGGCGAGGAAGGGTGAACATATTTAATATAAAATCCTTAAATTTCTATGGTAACGTGTTGGATTTGCTGAGATAGGACCAAAACRAAAAATATTGCGCTGCTGCCAAGTAACCGCCTCCGAGGCGGGAATACCGAGACGGCTCATATACATTCATACGAGCGAAGTGTCTGACATAACGTTTTCTAAGCGATTTCACTGGGAGGACATAAATATATTTCGATATGGTATACTACGCAAAGGGCTGAAACGTGCATGTTTTCAAATTTGTATCCCTCACATTTGGGCGTTAACGACTACACGCTTGGCCGTTAGTCGGACCATGACGACGGGGTGATTGTTCCCCTTTAGTCATATTATATTCTTTGCAATTTATTATATTATACTATATATATTGTTGTTGTTATTATTTTATTTTTATTTTTTCCGACTGACCGTTCGACTTGACCGTTTTCCACTCAGACTCAACCAATACTGTACTGGTGTATACCGGAAATTCGTCAGCGGAATATAATATCTCATATCGTGCACTTGCACGCCACCCCGCCCTACCCTACCAACTCGCGCACCGCAAAACATAAAGATGGTGTAGTCGTTACGTGTTTGAACTGCATCTATTCAATCGCAGCTTTATGATATTACCGTGTCTTTCGAACACCTTTCTATAACAAACTTCCTCTAGTTGTTTAGAGGAGCATTTCCGCAAGACCGGARTTCGTCGTAATGGTCCTATTATCTGGGGAGGCCATTCGTCTTACACCATCCGGAATGGGTATAGTCTATCGTAATTTCCTTTACGCGCACTTCCAGCCACCGCACGCGACTAGATTTAAGACGTGTAAAACGTACATTGTTTAATAATATCATAAGTTTATATAGGTAGCATCGAAATATATAATATTATAAACAGCTATAATTGATTCAACGTTCTTAAGACGTTTAATTTAGACCAACGCGTTGCGTTTGTACGATGTTGTTGCTTTGATAATCAAAAAAATACAATCCAATTCAATCCAAAAAAAGAAATAAAATAAAATAATACATTGTTGGCTCCTTGGGTGGCTTGAATGTTGTTCAGAGATGTACCTACTCACAAACAAAACGCCCAGAGATTAGATACGATAACATTAATCGCAGTCGCTACCGAAATTTACCGTACCGTATCATTAATGCGACTAAACGTTATAATTCTGTAATTACACGGGCTGCTCCTCCGAGGCGAACCAAACTACCTCCGAGTGTATAAATGCCACGTTAAACATATATTGGGCCATTATGCCAAAAGCAATTTCATTGAAAATCATCATTCTGTTTCGACGTCGAATGGAAACTATCGTTTGATCTAATTACTTATATTACGTTTGTACATTGTACATAAATTACACTTGCGATCAACCGATTCATTCTGTCCTATATGCGTACGACAGCACGATTTCAACGATAACAACGAGATATTTAATATAAATTTACTAACAATATTCCCGAAAAACGGAAAACAGACCTGCGTCCTGCACTCTCACCATTAGTCATTATTTCATATTTTAACTGACATAATATTCCGAGAGACCTCCGACGTTGTCACAAAATACTGTACAATCATACGGAGTCTGATTTAGTCATAATATTGTCATTTAAATTTCCCATTATAAACATGAATAACTTAATAATAATAGCTGGATTGTTTTTTTTT